AGATAGAACAATTATTTAAAGGAACAATTACAAGACATGAATCTACGTAGCTAATAATATCACATTGTATTATTGTCAAGGACAATTATATTAATTGTTATATATTAGAAAAAGGTGTTGCGAATGACTTTTCGCCACATAAAAGATACCAATTTTGATATATAAAGTATAGTATTATTTCTTCGATATAACCTTAACAATCCACTTGCCAACAGCATCTTGACAGTATTATTTCTTTAATGTTTGAAATTATTCAGAGTTTTAAGCAGGGCATATACTCTCGAACTATTCATCCCATTTTCCCCCCAGAATCATCCTTTTCCTTTTGAGATTTAATATTGACTTATAAGGAGGCAGCGTTCAACCATCCACTCTCGAGATTCATATTGATTGATAGATCTTGGCGTCCTACCAGTCCGCTAAGTAAACTCTCTCAGCAAAAACTTACTTACATTTGGTGTTTACACCAAATTGTTTTAATTTACCCTAGTTATGCAAATAATTAATATGAGAATGTATATTAATCAAATATGATTTAGTGATAATCATATTTGTGAATACATGAATCGTGTATTTATTGAACTCTGTGTTATGATACTTAATCTACATGAATGTCTTAAATTGCTTTGTTTTCTAATGTTCAATTACTTGAATTTTTATCGTAAACTCAATATACCACCTCTCTTATAACATGCTGAAAGTTGATATACCAACGTATAACGTATAGTAAGAACAACATCAATAATTTTCTTAGAAGAAAACAAAGAGAAAACCTCTTATATATCTACTTTAAAAAGCTTATGTATTAATTAATTTCTAATCCTCTATAAATGGATATCGTACTTAGAGGTACAGTAATTTACTCACACTTCTCAATTTACGTTTTAAGTTATATATGCAGATAAAATGATTTAATCGGTTATTGTAGAATACATACTTTATTTTTCAAGTTATCATATAGTTACATTTAGATGGGTGAATTTAACCAAATATGTAAAATTTATTTACATTTTCAATATCTTTTTGCTCTATCTATCTCCTTCTCCCTAATTAAACTGTCGGATTCCCTTGTCCGTACCAATTTTGAGTTGGTTGCTTGACGCTTGAGGAAGGCCCCCCAACGGAACGATTCCAAGTTCGCCCTCCGGCTGGCACGCGGCAATTCAATTTCGTCGCGGGAGAAGCTCGAGGAGTTCACCGACAACCGACAGGTTTGGGACTGGGTCCCCATGCCCAGCCCTCAAAGTCAATTATTTTTCCGAAGAAATTAGAGATCCATTTTGCCGACTTTCCTTGCCTACAATGCTCCATTGTCGAGAGGTTGTGTCACGACTCAATTTCATCTATAGGTTGTGATGGCGCCCAACATCACAGCTAGGCAAGCCAACTAGTGAATTAAACATATATTTATTCTTTTAATAATTTTCTGAGTAATTAAACTCTTCTTACTTGCAACATTTAAGAAAAATATAGAAGATTCTGTTTAAATAAAACCAAGAAAATAATTCAAACCTCAATTCTACTAGTGTGTGTGCCAAGACCTGGTGTCACAAGTATACGAGCATCTAGTAGATTATACAATAATTTTAAATACTGTCTGAAATAAAATAGACAGAATGCAAATACAAAGAGGGGTACTAGTCGCTGCAGAATGACTCAGAAAGGCAGCTCACCCTTAGGCCTCGGGGTAACGTGGATGCGCACCGGTAGGACCACCTAAGGCTCCCGTCTCAGATCCTGCACAAAAAGTGCAGCAAGCGTAGCATGAGTACGTAAACAACGTGTACCCAGTAAGTATCAAGTCTAATCTCGAAGAAGTAGCGACGAGAGGTCGACTTTGACGCTCACTATGGGTCAATAATATTAAAATAGAAATATTTAAATAAACATAATTTATATGAACAACAATAATTTTCTTAACAAGCAGAAATAATTAATTCTTTCAAATTCAATAATTTTCAATTTATCAATTAGCTTCACAACCTGCAATAAAATGTCAAGGTATCGTGTAATTATTATTATTATTAGGCACGATTCCTGCCGAGGTCATACGACCCGATCCAGAGTGTCATGTACACTGTCGAGGGATGTGCGGCACGATCCATAGATGCATCTATACTGCCGAGGCGTTCGGCTTGCTCCACAAGAAAGGAGGACATTTTCTTATGAACCTCTGGAATGAGAAGTTATTATAAGGCTAACAAATAAGGATGTAGAGTTTCTATTAACAGTCAAGTAATTTGTACAAAAATTCAAGTATATGAATTTCGGTCTTTTACTATTTCCTCTAACAATTTCAAATATAATTCCAGTACTTTTACTAATAAATGATGCAATTATTACAAGTAATTAATGATTTGAGTCCTAAATTACCCGGACATAGTATAATTAGTAGCTACGCACGAACTCTCGTCACCTTGTGCGTACGTAGCCCCTCTCAATTAGCAACAATTATTAATTTAAATCACCTATGGGTTAAATTCTCTCTTACAAGGTTAGACAAGAGACTTACCTTGTCTCAAAGTCCACTTTTCGATCACAATGTCACGTTAAAGTCTCAATTCGATGCCGAAAAATTCGAAACTATCCAAATGTTATACAAAATAATTAATACATGCTCAATAATTCGAAATTAGACTATTAAATTAATTACCCGATCCAAATTGATAAAATTTCTAAAATTTACCCCGGGCCCACGTGCCCTACTATCTCTCCCTATCTGTCTCTCTAAGAACATTAGAGGCAAAGATAATAGTATTGTAGTTATAATTAAAATCAATTAAGTTGTAGTAGCCATTGTGCATCATCCCATATGATTATAATTTGTTCGATTATAATTTTTATAAATCGCCGCCGCAGCAAAACGCACTTCATTAGTACTTACGTTGTCCACATGGAAGTCTTATGTTTTCAAAGTCTTAGCAACTTACATGATAAAATTGAACATGGGACAGTATATTATTTGGATATATATATTTACTTTACTTTATTTTAGAAAAAGAAACATAGTCACATTAAATGACAAAAAACGAATGCTGTTCTCAGTATCATCTCTGATATGTTAACTGCTAATTCCAAATCTTCTGAGTCAGCTACTCATCAGAGCCACCTTCATTGAATTTAATTAATATTTGTATATATTAATAGTACAAAGAATTTGTACTTCACATATTATAGCATTATCACTTATTATGAACGCTTACATGATGTGTTTGGTATAACAAAAAATATTTTTTTTACAAAAATAAATTATTATTTTCCTTGAAATATATTTTACATGTTATAAGGGGAACATGACTTTCTTCACTTATGTATCTTATTGTTCCTGAATGGGTCTGTTTCACCCTTTTAGGTTTATGATCTACTACTCTGGGTAAAGATCCGTTCGATTTGGATTTGTACATATAGGATACAATTGCTTCCGAGTCCGACCACAATGACCGAATTAATTTACTAGATTACTTGGTAGAAAAAGTGAGACAAGTTTCTAACACTACCTGAACAATATTTTCTTTCAAACCAAGCACTCTCAATGTCTTTTTAAGTAACCAAATAATGTAAATAGTATACACTATCAGTTTATAGAGGTTACATTTTTTATTATAAAAATCTAGCTAGTCGTTAAATTTCCTTAATTTTTTCATTTTCTTGTTTTTGCGCGTGAGTGTAGATGTTATGAATTTTTAACATCACAAAGAAAAAGAAAAAAGGATACAAAATATGACGAAAACCTTTCGGCATTTTGACGCATTATCAATAAAAATATAGTAATAGCAAGGAAAATACAAATGATAATGCAATAGCGTTTTCAACAATTATTTTAGAAAGGAAAGCCAAGCACAAGAAATCCAAGAAAATTTTGTATTCTGTTTTGTTAAAAATTTCTCTTAATATATTGCAAAACATTGTGAGGACTCACTTCAAATTGGCTTTCAGCTTACCACAATCTTCCTCATTCTTTAGATTTTATGCTTTTTAGAAGTCTTTTAGCTCAATAAAAGATTTTTATATCAATAAAAAAAATATAGAGAATTTCTAAACTTTTTTTTTCTTTATTTTTTTTTATTTCTATCAAAAAGAAAAAAGAAAAAAGAAAAAAAGGCAGTAGATTGCCCTTCGTCCCACCTGAACCCCTGCCATCTCCGCCTTTATCTCCTTGTCTTCCTCTTCCCTAAATCCTTTCCAAATAAGTTTGGGTCGATTATATGCTGAGTGAAAATTCATATAGCCGATACAAACTTATTTGGAGCTATGACGTAATTGTTATTGTTGTAATTTGCAAAACATTCTTTTATGTTTGTGGCAAAGAGTAACAGAAATGTTCATACTTTTTAATGTTACATGCACAAGCTATATATTTCTCTATTAAGTACAAATCATTATGTGTCAAAAAATAATTATGTGTAAAATAAGGAAAATACTTTAAAATATTTCAACAACAACATCTTGATTTTATTTATTCTGCATAGTTTATGGTAAGTCTATAATTTTGCATGATGTGGCACCACAGCGGCAGTCTAAAGGGTATCTATCCTTCACCATTTTGCAAAATATTTTCCTTATATATGTGCAACTATTTTTCAAAAACAAAAAATGTATATATGTGCATATAGGTTGAATCCGCTCGAAAATAATACAAATAAATTAAATATCAATTTGAGACATCAAGTATCAAGCCTCTAAACCGAAATAATCTTAGAGCCAAACCAAAACGAATTGTGACGATAAGCTGACACTACTTACATAAAATCTTGCGTACACCATCGTCGCACTATGTGCATACAACACATTCATTGGCTTAAGGAGGCCAATAACAGAAACTATGTAATTTCCAATATACATGTTACTTTGATTTTTCATCTTTCCTAGTAGCTGCTTGGTTGGCATTATATCATGACATATAATATACAGTTGTATTAAAATATTACTAATATTATATATTTTATTCTCCATTTTTTTCCTTATAAATCAAGCAAAGTTCCATAGCTAATTTTCATAGGTCTTTGTTTACTACTACCTTTTATTTTTTTTTGCAAAAAACAAAAATGGGGTTTGAAACTTACAAACCTACATTTGTTATGATTGCTTTGCAATTTATGTATGCTGCTGTTACTCTATTTAGTAGAGCTTCTCTTGTACAAGGAATGAGCCCTAGAGTTTTTGTAGTTTATAGGCAAACTATAGCCTTTCTCCTCATTTCTCCTATTGCTTTTGTCCCAAGGTATGTGTAAAATTTCTCTTCATAACTTGACCCCTCTTCCTCCCCTCCCCTCCCCTCCCCCCCCTCGAACGCCACCCAACCCCTCGTCAAATTTGGTGACTCGTTTTTCAAAAAAAATATTTTCTTGAATCCTGAATCCTAAACCCTAAATATATTTGGAATGCCACAAAGCGATTGAACTTGCGTATCATAATTTGTGTGGCCTTGTACTATTTTTCTAAACCTTAAGGGTAGAAATTATACTAAAAATTGTTAGTTATTTATGTGGTGCTATTTTTTTATTTTGTTTTTATAGAAGAAAAACAGGAAGTAGTTGCTTGGGATGGAAGAGTTTCTGGTTGATAAATTTAGCAGCTCTCACTGGGTAAGAAATTATAAATTTCTTTATTTTTTCCAACATAATTTTTTTACTAAATGTACATATATAAATAAGAAGATTCTTTATTTATTTTCAGTGTAACAATCAATCAGAATATCTATTTTTCTGGTTTGTATTATGCTTCATCTTCCATTGCAAGTGCAACTGGCAATCTTGTTCCAGCATTCACTTTTCTCATGGCATGGGTCATGGGGTAAGTTTTAAAAACTCAATTTGTTTTTCAATTTATAAAAACAAATGTCAAAAAATTATGGCGTATCGATGAATATTTTAATTAATATTTTTGTTAATTAATGTTTTTTATTTAGAATGGAGAAAGTGCAAATCAATAGCTTGAGAAGTATAGCTAAAGTGATTGGGACAATTCTATGTGTTGCTGGAGCTGTTGCAATGGCATTACTTAAAGGGCCAAAGTTGCTAAATTCAGAATTCATTCCAACAAATGAATTGTTAGTTCTTGGCAAAGAAAATAGTGAGAATCTGAATAATTGGATGCTAGGTGTAATCTTGCTCATTGCAAGTGCTTGTTGCTGGTCATTTTGGCTCATTTTGCAGGTATTTTAACATCTCGTAACATTTCTGGTAACAAGCGTTTTCCCATTTTAATAAAGTTTACGCAACACGAATCCTACTTAGTCCAGTTATAAATTTCGAATACCGGATGCATTTTGGCTCATTTTGGATGTATTTTAACATCTCTTAACATTTCTGGAAAGGAGCGTTTTTCCGTTTTAGTAAAGTTTACGCAAACACAAATCCTACTTAGACCGGCTAAAGTTTACGCAACACAAATCCTACTTAGACCGGCTAACAAATTTCGAATGCGGATATGCATAAAGTTCCAAGGAAACATTCCTTATTTTCAACTGAAAGAAAAATCAATTTTAAAAGGAAGTTGAATGATCACTTTAACCCTATAATAAGACCTGAAATTTCTATATTATTTTTCAAACTAGGATGTTTCTAATTTACTTATTTATTATTTTGAAAAGGGAGTCAAATTATACTTCAACCAAAGCTAAAAAACAATGTTTTTTTCAAGAATTCTTTAATATATTAGAACTAGAAATTTCACACTATCTCTTTTACACTATAAATTCACTTAAAACATTAAAAAATACCTTTAGTTAACAGTTCATAATAAGTGGAACGAATTACCTAAAAGATAAACCTGGAAAATCTGCTACAACATATTAAATTACACTGATAGTATAAAAATTATTTACACTCGCAACATATATAACTTAATCCCAATTTTAATTTTCTAATTAAGTTGCTAATAGGATATTGTGAAACAGGTGACATTGTCAGCAAATTGCCCTGATCATCTATCTTTAACAGCCTGGTTATGCCTCATGGCTGCAATTCAATCTGGAATTGTCACATTCTTCTTTGAACCTAATTTGAATAGCTGGAAAGTAACTTCATCTCTGGAATTCATTTCTATCTTCTATACTGTAAGTATTCTTTCTTTCCTTTCTCTTTTGAATATTATAAATTTTTTTTAAAGGGCAGACCGCTGCACGAAGTATCTTGCGTTTATGCAGGATCCGGGAAATGATTGCACTACGAGAGGGTGTGACATAGAAAGCCTACTTAACGCACGCGTTAGTGGCTCATCCACGACTCAAACCCGTGACCTATAAGTTACACAAAGACGACTTTATTGTTGTTCCAAGGCTCCCCTTCATATTAAAAATTACAAAAAAATGGGACAGCCCGGTGCACAAAACATCCCGTATTCATGCAGTATCCGGGGAAGGCCGCACCCCAAGAGGGTATGATGTAGGCCGTCTATCTTGAGTGGCTGATTCCACGGCTCGAACCCGTGACCTATAGGTTACACGGATACAACATGACCGTTGCTCCAAAACTCCCCTTTATTTACAATTTAAAATAATAACTAAAATCTTGTTAAATTATTATTAATAATTTTTGAATTTTTGTAAACAGGGATTTTCATCAGCTGTTTCTTTCTTTGGGCAAGCTTGGTGTATTTCACGTAGAGGACCATTATTTTCTGCTATGTTCAATCCTCTATGCACAGTTATAGTAACAATCATTGCCTCAGCATTTATGCAAGAAGAGATGTACACTGGAAGGTAAATTACTAAAATCATCTTCACTTACTTTATTGGTTTTATCGTTTAAACTTTTTAAACTATTTCTTGAAAACCCCAGATTAGGAAATTCAAATTTTGAATTATTTGGCTTTAAAAAAAGATATTTAATAGCCTTATCATAGAAGAATTTATCTAAATTACTACTATCATTTATCTCCTTAAATGTCTCACTTAATAAACACTATGCGGATTCAATAGTAAGGATGACTTCTTCATTTTCTAAAACGTCAAATATTTTGGAATAAATTCAGTTTGCAAAATGACAAATAATATGGATCAGAGGTAGCACGATGCATTTTTTTTTATTTTTTTATTTTTTTACAATTTTTGAGAATTTTTACTTTTTTAAAAGTATGATAAGGTTGTTTAAACTTTTTTGATTAAATTTCAGCTTGGTGGGATCACTTGCTGTGATTTTTGGACTATATGTGGTATTATGGGGAAAGGCAAAGGATAAAAAAGAGGACAATATTTTAGAGGAAGAGCCAGTGAAGCAACATATTCAAGAAACAACAATTGCAATTCAAGATTTTCCAGATTTTACAAGTTTTAAAGTTGATTTAGAGGAACCACTTTTGACTAACAAATCAATAACCAATATTGTAGATGACCATATATAGTAGTATAAAATTAAAAAAGAAGAAGAAGTCATTTGTAGTCATAATTTATCATCAATTTATCAGCATTATTTATTGTGTTGTACGCAGTTAGTCTTTTCTTTTTCTCTTCTCTGTAAAATTTGTTGAGGAATTTTGTTAGTACTAATTTTCTCTCTCTATAAATAAAAGTGATGCATATTTTCCAACTTTGGAAGTTTAGAACTATATTTTCTTCTGGATATTGTTGTTTTTAATTGTACTTGATTTGATTTGTGAGCCAAAAATTGCATAAGTTATGTTATCATCTCACATGTCTATATACTAAAGATACTTGACGTAAACCTTATATTTATATTATGAAATTCAATAAATATATATTCATCGTTATAAAATTCAAAACTCATAAATTTCAAATAATAAATCTACCTCTAATGACTAAATAAACATACATGCACGTCAATACAAAATAATGAAGACTATAGTTTTTGAAGCTTTTGATTTAATGTAAAGTTGTAATATTTTTTAACAAGTAGCTAACAGTATGTGACATGAAAATGACACAACATATATGCATCTTTATCAACATATTTAGCATCAACTTACATTACGTCATAACATAGCTGTAATAAACAATTTTATTTACCAAATGAATATTCACAAAGCATAAAAAATAAAACAAGCACCTCCTAGACAAATGGTCCCACGGTTGCTCTACCTCTAGCCGTCGGAACTTTTCATTAGCTACCAATACAATCATTAACACTTCTCCTGAGGACCGACAAAATTTCAGTTCAATCCGAGTTCGTCAATTTTTTTTTTACAAAATTAGTACGTACTAGTACACATGAAAAAGTGAATATAATCATAAATTCGTGTTGCATGGCCACGAAACGCCATAAAATGAACACAAAAGTCGCCTAAAATTTTGTAGACCAATCAGAAATAAACTAATGAACAATATTTATTGTTTCTCCATGACCGTTTCTCGTTTTTATGGTGTTTTAGGGCCATAAAATAGGAATTCGGCATGATGTCTATACCATCTTCATAAATTCGGGCGACCGTCACCGAATCGCCTAAAATTTTGTAAGTCCATCATAAACGACCTAATGAACAAGAGGCATTACTTCTCCATGACAGTTCTTCATTTTTTAGCGTTTTCGGGCCATAAAACAAGAATTCAAGACGATTCCCATATTTTTCTATGCTATAGTCCACGCCATCTGCATGAATTCGAGCGACCAACCCCGAATCTCCTAAAAGTTTGCAAGCCCATCAGAAACAGTCTAACGAGCAATAGTCATCGCTTCGCCATGATCGTTCCTTGATTTTCAGCGTTTTAGGGCCATAAAACAGGAAGTTGCGACCATTTCCAAATTTTTGTGTGCTATGGTCCACACCATCTGCATGAATTTGAGCAAGCAGTCCTCAATCTCTTAAAATTTTGCGGGCCCATAAAAATGACCTAATGAACAATAGTCAATGTTTTGCCATGACCGTTCCTTTTATTTAGCGTTTTAGGGCCATAAAACAGAAATTCAGGATAATTTCTAGATTTTTGTGTGCTATTGTCCACGCAATCTTCATGAATTCGGGCGATTGGCCCGAATCTCTTAATATTTGCGGGCCCATAAAAAATGACCAAATGAACAATAGTCATCGCTTCGCCATGTCCGTTCTTCATATTTAAGCGTTTTAGGGCCATAAAATAAGAACTAAAGACGATTCACATATTTTCGTGTGCTTAGTCCATGCTTTCTATATATTTTTGGCCCCGAATCTCCTAAAATTTTACACGCCCATCAGAAATGGCCTAACGTACAATAATCATCATTTTCCATGACCGTTCCTCGTTTTTCGGCGTTTTAGTCCATAAAACAGGAAGTCGCGATGATTCCCAAATTTCATGTGCTATGGTCCACACTATCTGCATGAATTCAGGCGACCGGTCCTGAATCTCCTAAAATTTTGCGGGGCCCACAAAAATAATCTAATGAATAATAGTCGTTTCTTTTCCATAATCGTTCCTCATTTTTTGGCGTTTTAAGGTCACAAAATAGGAATTCGAGACGATCCCCAGATTTTCGCGTACTATGGTCCACACCATCTACATGAATTCAGGCGACCGACGCCGAATCTCTTAAACTTTTATGAGCCAATCAGAAATGACCTAATGAACAATAGTCATCACTTCACCATGATCGTTCCTCATTTTCGGCATTTAAGGGTCATAAAATAGAAATTCGGGACGATCCCTAGATTTTCATGTACTATGGTTCACACCATCTGCATGAATTCGAGCAACTGATGCCGAATCTCCTAAATGTTTGCGGGCCCACAAAAAATAACCTAATAAAAAATAGCCATCGCTTCGCCATGGTCATTTCTTGTATTGTTGCGTTTTAGGGCCATAAAATAGGAATTAAGGATGATTCCTAGATTTGTGTGTAATATGGTCCACGCCATCTGCATGAGATGACCCACCCCGAATCTCCTAAAATTTTGCGGGTCCATAAAAAATGACCTAATGAACAATACTCATCACTTCGCCATGATTGTTCCTCATTTTTTGGTGTTTTAGGGCCTTAAAACAAGAATTCAAAAAGATTCCCAAATAGTCCACGCCATCGGCATGTATTCGGATGACCGGCTCCGGATCTCTTAAAAGTTTATGGGCCCATCATAAAAGACCTAATGAACAATATGTATCACTTCGCCATGACCGTTCCTAATTTTTTGATATTCCAGGGCCATAAAATAAGAATTTAGGATGATTTCCAGTTTTTCGTGTGCTATAGCTGTCACGACCCAATTTCATCTATAGGTCGTGATGGCGCCCAATACTACAGCTAGGCAAGCCAACTAATAAGTCAATCGTACATTGGTTAACTTTTATTCCAAGAAAATAATAAAATACCAACTTCTACCAATGTGTGTGCCAAGACTCGGTGTCACAAGTGCATGAGCATCTAGTAGATTATACAAAACTCTAAATACTGTCTGAAATGAAATAGACAGAATATAAATATAAGAAGAGACACTGGTAACTGCAGAACGGCTCAGAAAGGCAGCTTACCACTATGCCTTGGGATGACGTGGGTATGTGATGGTAGGTCCTCCACTAGTACATGTCTCAGGTCCTGCACAAAAAGTGCAGCAAGTGTAGTTTGAGTACGTAAACAACGTGTACCCAGTAAGTATCAAGCCTAATCTCGAAGTGGTAGAGACGAGATGGCCGACTTTGACACTCACTATAGGTCAATAATAATTGAAATAAAACTAGGATATTTAAATCAGCATGATTTACAGAATTTACAATAATTTATTTAATCAGCAGAAATAATCAAATTCCTTCAAATGTAACAATTCTCAATATATTAATTAAATTCCTTCAATTCAAATAAATTCTAATTTATCAATTAAATCTCATTTACAGGAGTAACAATTAATTCCTAAGCAAGTAAGAATAATAATTCATTAAATTCCAAGGATTTTTCAATTTATTAATTAGCTTCACAAGCTGAAATAA